GTGAGGGGGGCGGTTTCAAGGGGATACAAGGCAGACATTTGCCTCTGTCGTCACATAGGTTAGTAGATCTCTAGCGTGTCTTCTGGATCAAGACTGCATTACCCCATTCCCTGTGGCACGAAGGTTCCAGGGGTTCCACTCCAACCTTTTCATACAGTAGTTTCTAAGCCCAAAGTGACTATCCATCTTCATCCTGTATCTGATGGCCCTAAGTGTTTTCATGCTGGCTTAGAAATCCCATATGGAATCTACCAGGTCGGTCACAGCCTCCCTTCATCAGGGAGGCCTTTTGGCCTCTGTGGACATGAAGAACGCATACTTGCATGTTCTATATTTCCAGCACATCAGCCTTTCCTTTGATCTGGGCCCCTTGCACTTCTAGTTAGTGCCTCTGCCATTTAGCCTTTCTTCTGCACACTGGGTATTTACCAAGGTGTTGGCTCCTTTTGGGGATGGCCTTACTGCGCTCCCAGGCCATCCCCATTGTGAGTTACCTGGATGACCTCCTGCTGAGGAAACATTCGGCACAGGTTCGCTTGGAATACCTGGGTCTAACACAGCACAAGTCAAAGTTTTTTGGGCCGATGCTAGCCTCCTTCAAAGCAGTCCTGTTTACCCAGTTCCACTCCAGACTCCTACTACACAACATCCTGTAATCGTGGGAAAAGTCAGTCCAGTCCTTGGACAGACTGATTCGTCTGGCACCATGTACAAAATTGTCCCTGGTTTAATTAATCCTGCTCTAGAGTTGGGAAAGGCCTTGCTTTCAATATTTTGGAAGATCCTCATGACGGATACCAGTTTGACGGGCTGAGGAGGCGTCCCGGACACCTTGTTGGTGCAGAGGACTTGGACATCGGAGGAGTCTCGTCTCCCGCTCAACCTTCTGTAGGTTCAGGTAATTTGATTGTCCCACCAGTGGACATCCAGTCTGGAGGGCCATCCTTGCTGTGGCGATTGAAATCTCTCTACAGCAAGAGTGGTAGAGCAGATCCTGTTGACAACGGATGTGGATTTCCTGTCCTCTGGGTTTAACATCAATCAGGACATGTTTGGCCCCAGAGCCAGGAATCCTCTAGGGAAAGCAGTGGATGCTCTGGTGGCTCTCTGGGATCAGTATTGGATCAGCATGGCTTTGCTCCCCTAAAACTCCGTTATTGTCCACTTTGGAGTTCATTGAGGGAAACAGGTTCACCCCCTCTGTGTTTATGCTCATGTTCTTGGCACTGCTATTCCCCAAAACTGAGGCTGGGAGTAGAAAGGGTTATACTGGGCTGGCCCACTATTTTTTTGTTTGCGAGTGTTCAATCCTCCTGTAGGCAGCAGTCCCACAATGAGCTCCAAGAAATGGATTTTAGGGTAAGTAAAAAATAATAATTACATTCTCTAAATTAGATTTGTTTGTGATTTTTATTGGGTCGATTTAGAAGTAAATAGTGCTTTAAATATTTTCTGTACATTTGAGTTGATTTACATTAAAACTTAATTATGTACATAATTATAGTATGGTAACGTTTTGCTCAAGCATCAATGTTTTTCATTCACTTTTGCTAGAAAATAAGAATTATTCATCCGTAAGAACGGAAGCTCTCTCTGTATTAGAACTACTAATAAAGAAACTCGAAGGTAAGCCAGTTCTATGAATAAGATGTGCCTGTGATATTTGTCAGAAAAGCAATTTCTCACAGAGTTGTAATGTGTTCCAATGACCTGTGTTGGGTTAAATGCTTTTTTGTTTTTAATGCATTCCATTTTTTCCAGCACACACCCACTCACATGCGAACTGGTCCCTTAGAAAACAAAGCTATTTGCCCTGACCTTGTGTTGGGACTACAACACAGGTGGTGTAGGCAAGCCCTTAGAAATATTTAAAGCAGACCTAGGGTGCAGTTTAGAAGTTTAAAGAAGTTATACTTTGCTAAAAATTCACAATGAAAGATAGCAGTATGGTAAGTGATTGGGAAGCCCAAATAGCAGCTATGGAATCTGCCCACTGGTGTCCGCTTTCTTCTTCACAAGAAAGGTGGACCTGATGGGGAACTTTTTGCTCAGCTTCCTCATCAGGCTTTGTCCACTCAACAAAACTTCTTACACAGGCAGGGGCCAGACAGAGAGCTCAGCAACACTGTGCTTGTGATTTTATCAGGCTTGGCTCTACTGAATTGCACAGTGTGTGGTACAGACACTCCTAACTCAGTGCTGGCCTCTATATGACAGTCATGTATCTTTTTGTAAACCGTACAAGAATTTGTCACGGACAGCGACGTCTGTCATGTGGAACCATCACAGGATTCTTTCTCAAATAGATTTTTATTGAATTTAACAGTGCAAGTATACATGGACATGTTACATTGGCAACAGATGTCTGCGGCAAACAGGTCATCCATACTTAACAAAACACGTATCACATATGAAGTGTAATCGTAGTAGAGGAACACAAGGTTGGTCTATGGGAAGCGGCACCAAAGCACTAGAGGAAGCAAGGTGGCACCGGAGGGAGCAGAGCCCCATAAGCCGATGCCTCCTCCATAGCGCCGGCTCCTGCCACAGGCGGAGTGATACCAAATGCACTCCGCCTGTGAGGAATCGATAGTGAAAGTAAGCCATCTTGTATTTTAGGAAAGTGATCCATGACAGGATTCTAAAGCATGTCTACATCATTCTATGAATTCCAGGGATTTAGCTTTAATGTAAAATAATGTATATTGTCCATATCTAATCATCTCCATGTTTCTGTTCACTTATATTTTTGTATTTGGATCCTATGCTTCTTACCCTAACAGAAACTTTCTGTGCTATCCAAGCAAAATGTATCCAATCCATTGATAACATTTATATGTGCAGCTTCTGTCACGAACTGAGATGTCTGTTTATGCTTAATTTCTTAACAAGACCCTATTTGTTTTTCAGATTCAAAACAGTGGGAAAGCCTTACAATAGAAAACAGAACCGTGCTCATTATTTCTTTATCTACAATGGAACTGGACAGCAGGCCCGATCTGAAAGACAAAGGATTATTATTAAAGAAACAACTAGAGAACTTAAACTAAAATTATTCAACTACATAACTGTGAGATTCAACCCAAACCATGTACCGTGGATTTTGAATTCTGTTCTGCCCAAGTTTGCATATATTCTGTAGCATGCATCATTCCATGCCTAAAATAAATGTCCATGAATTATTTTCTTGTACATTTTTGTCTATTTGTCTTGTCTATTTACAATATGTTTCTTGAGTGCTGTGTGCAGGAAATGTGCACTAGTTAAATTGCATTTCACATAATTTTTGGAAAAGCACAGTGCCCAAGCTATGTTGTCATGCTGCAGAAAGGACTCCTATTCCTTCCCAGAGGCACAGCAAAATCTAGTGGAGTCCAAATCTGGAAACTTGCTGAAAATGCGATCTCCTGACATGGAGGGAACTATCTCTTCAAACTATCTCTTCTGAGGAACCCCAGAGGGAGGTTCTCCCACTAGTGAAAATCCCCAGGTATTGGGAGAAGAAACTCTGTCACCTAAAGAAGCAAAAGGATCATGGCAGCGACTGCCTGGTCAGAGACAGGCCCGTTCAGCTGCTCAGAACCCAAGTCCGTGACAACGGAGTTCCCCCAATGCTCTACACTCCAGTGACGGAGGAGAAGGGGTAAAATTCCTGTCTGTCCTGTTGCCTGGGGACCTAAAGGTCAGCATACATGTTAGAATCTGACTATACAATGTTTGTATAATCAACTTTAGATTTGCCAAAACTATGGATGCAAACTGACTGGATAGCTTAGGTAGGTGCTCATATTACAATCAGACGGGCCCTTGCATTACATAGTTGTTGGTAGAGCTAAAGAGATTGTAAAGTCAGATTGCAACATGTATGTGCTGCTTTGCTCACTGCTGACAGGTATCTGCATATGCTGTATCCCAGCTAAGCCTGATCTGGTAAGAACTTACAAGTGTTCGGCCCTATGGGAAAGTGCTGACTACAAGGATCCATAGAGTTGGCTATCTTCACAGTAGGTTGTCTGAGCATTCCACAATGGGGATGTTGGGAAGGCGAGTAGACTGAATACAAGGTTCAAGACATTTGCTCCACAAACTCGAATAAATGGGGGTCTTAGGAATTTTACTAAATCTGACAGATTAAGGTCACTGCCAACACAGAGTAAAGGTCAGACTGGTAACCAAAATAGTTGCGCTAGGATATATGGCAAAAATAAAAATTAATTAAATTAAAACTAAAAAACCCAACATACAAAGAAAATAACAATTTCGAATATGAATATAAAAATCAAATATAGCCAAGAGATCCAGCTGCAGCAATATCTATCAAAGCGATCAATTATAAACCGGTGTGCTGCGCTTGGTTTTGTGATATACTAAACAGGATCCATGTGGAGCAGAGCACTCACATAGCACGTCTCACCGCATGCCGTGCCAGGCCACGCCCCCATGCATGTTTTATTTTAAGCGTCTCCTGTATGGTAATAACAATGATCTTTATGTAGTTAAAGGCTATTTAAACCCAATAATATATTTAATATATTAATATATTGCAGGTCACCAGTCCTTAGACATGGTGGGCACATTCGTTTTTTCAGGCTAACATTTTCAGCAAGTACAAGAAATACCTGTTCTTGACAGAAATGCAGTAAACTAAATTCATGTAAACGAAACTGCTTTATTAAGCCGTTATCTTCCTTCCAATCTTATTTCCAACCTATCTTTTGTAAACTTCTAATTCCTACACCGCTCATGTAATATAGATGAAGTAGAAGACATGTTTGTAGTCCTGTCCTAGGTTGACAACCAATGCAAGTGTTACTTGCAGTATAACCAGATGAAAATAAAAGAGAGACTGAACATTTTAAACTAATGCAGACATAATATCTAAGAACTAATATATTATTAAATTTTTGTGTTAAGGTTTAGGTGAACTTTAATTATCCCTTTTTATCATTATAGGAAACTTTTTTGTTTTTATACAGAAGAATGTTTGGTAGTGTTTTTAACTTCTGCTGTTCTTCTTTTCACAGGTTGGCAGCAATGCTGGCATAGTGGGCATGACCAAGGAACACCTCGGTTTGGCGCTGGCATTAAATGTCCCAGTCTTTGTGGTGGTAACGAAGATTGATATGTGTCCAGCAAATATATTACAAGGTGAAAAGAAAATGTTTTCTTTGTTTTTCATTATTATTATTATAGGTATAACAGTGAGTGAAGATGGGAGATTGACATTTACCTAAGGCATAGCATGTATTAAAAAAAAGTTTGAGACTGGGGGCATGCCAACTGTAAAAGCAGCTTTGGAATCAACAAAAATATTAATTAAAGGATAATTATAGTCCCTTAGTTCTCTTAAGAATTCACTGGATTAACTAACTTTAACACATATTTTTACTGAAAATAGTTCTGGTCATGCAATGGCAGGCTAGCTCTTACTTTTAATGTTCTTAAACTATTCATGTATAAGGATAAAAATGAACATACTTGGTAGGGATGATCAGATACCAGTGCTGATACTTGGCAGTTTCACGAGAACTACCAGGGTTGCAGCAGGTGCAGCAGTGACAGGGCTCCACCACTGTCCTCAAATCATTAGCCGTATTGTTTTAGAAAAACTGTTAGATGAAACTAAACAAAAATGTATCAGTAATTGGTATCTGTGAGTACTTGGACAAGTATCAATACTTGATCTGTAAAAAAATGGTATCGTTGCATCCCTAGTGTGTGTGTGTACACAGTGTGGCAAATAATTATTTGATACCCTGCAGATTTTGTAAGTTTGCCCACTTACAAAGGAATGAAAGGTCGATAATTTTTTATTATAGGTGTATTTTAAACAGAATATCAACCAAAAATCCAGAAAAAACGCATGATATAAATTAGGGACGCTCCGATACCGATACAAGCATCGCTATCGGCGGCGATACCGATCCAATCGGCTAATCAGCTGGAGAAGAAGTCAGAATGGAGCAGATGACGTGGCTGAAGCAGACGGAAAAGACGACACAGCAGGTTAGTACTGCCGCACGGCATGGGGCTGGGCACAAAAATGCTGTTTAACGGCATATATTATTTTAAAAAAAGACATTAAATAAAGAAATAACTATGTAGATATTTCTAACTAAGGCTTGTATCCCCCTAGTGGGGAAAATAGATGAGCACATGTCCAGACTCCAGACCAGAACACTGTATAGTGTGGCACAGCTATATCCAATTCTGCATATGCTCATCTGCATATGGACATGTGCTCATCTATTTTCCCCACTAGGGGGATACAAGCCTTAGTTAGCAATGGCATGATACATATTAATTTCATGTTCTTCATCATTTTAAGAAACTGACCTAAAATCATGATTTTGTACTGCTTTAGAAAAAATGTGACCTGTCCCTTTAAGGAAAAGTATCGGTAATTGGTATAGTTGAGTACTTGAAAAAAAGTATCGGTACTCGGTCTTAAAAAAGTGGTATCGGAGCATCCCTAATATAAATGTTCTAAATTGAGTTGCAGTTCAGTGAGTAAAATATGCATTTGATCCCCAAGCAAAACATGACTTAGTTGCTTGGATGCAGCTGCCCGGCCATGGAAACCCATTCCATAAAGCTCTCGACGCACTGTTGTTGTGCCAATCTGAAGGCCGCATAAAGTTTGGAGGTCTGTAGCTATTGACTCTGCAGACAGTTGCCGACTTCTGCACACCGTGCTCTTCAGCATGCGCTGACCCTGCTCTGTCATTTTACGTGGCCTACCACCTCATTGCTAAGTTCCGGTAGTTTCCAGTTGCTTCCACTTTGTTATAATACCACTAACTGTTGACCGTGGAATATTTAGTAGCAAGGAGATTTCACGAACACCTGAATCCAATGAATCCAGGAGAACGGTACTTGCCTGACTGCATTGTGCCAAGTGTAAAGTTTGGTGGAGGGGGGATTATGGTGCGGGGTTATTTTTAAGGGGTTGGGCTTGGCCCCTTAGATCCAGTGAAGGGAACTCTTAAGGCATCAGCATACCAAGACATTTTGTACAATTTCGTGCTCCCAACTTTGTGGGAACAGTTTGGGGATGGCCCCTTCCTGTTCCAACATGACTGCGCCAAGCAAGGTCCATAAAGACATGGATGAGCGAGTTTGGGGTAGAGGAACTTGACTGGCCCGCACAGAGTCCTGACCTCAACCCGATAGAACATCTTTGGGATGAATTAGAGCAGAGACTGCGAGCCAGGCCTTCTCATCCAAAATCAGTTCCTGACCTTACAAATGCGCTTCTGGAAGAATAGACACATTCCTAAACGTTGTGGACAGCTTTCCCACAAGAGTTGAAGCTGTTATAGCGGCATAGGGTGGGCCAACTCAATATTGAACCCTACGAACTAAGACTGGGATGCCATTAGAGTTCATGTGCGTGTAAAGGCAGACGTCCCAATACGTTTGGTAATTGTGAGTGTGTGTGTGTGTGTATAGATAGAGAGATAAATATCATAATGTGTGTGTCTCGGTGTGTATATACTGTATAAATGAATAGGGTGATGTTGTGTTCACTTTGAATACCAATTCATGTACAAGAGAAAAAAAAATATTTCTTGTCCATTGAGGGACACAATAAGTCATTGTCAGGTTATACTTCCACTTACAGGTGGAATGCACAATGGCATACCAAATCTGCAGCCCAGTCCAGGCTAAGCCCTCCTTTACCCAGCATGCCTCAGGGTGTGTTTGCAAGTGTCCTAGGAGGTTGGAAAGCTTTTCTTTCACTCTGCTGTAATAGCCATGCCCCCCCCCTTTAGCCAAGACTCCTCAATACATCACTGTTGAGCTGGTCACTACATGTGTTATCTGAATTGGCCTTTCCTCATTCTAGCTTTGGAGTGTCGCACTCGAACCCTGCTCAACTGGACTATGTGGGGCTATTACCAGAAAAGACAGAAACCTCAAAACGGCAATGCAATCCTTGATTTCTTTAACAATTGTTAAACAACTTGATTGCTTTTCTATAAAAACGTTTCTATTAAAAAAGCTACAAAGATGCCAAGCACCACCATAAAAATTACGGTTCTGTCCTTTTAAAAATCTACTAGACTTGGGGTATGACCACACACCTGTGTCTCCTCACTCTAAGGTGGGTCCTCCTACTAAATTACTGAAACGGTTTTTCAGTAAGGTTATTCTTAATACATGAAAGTATACTCTTCTTATCCTTTTCAGGGGGAAAAAACTTCACACTAACTATCCAATACAAACTCTGCTCACACCTCATAGAGGCAGCAAATTAATATCTCACAATGAATATCTGCCATAGATTATGTACTGCACGGAGTAATAAGTAACTAGGACAATCTATATCGTAACATTGTATTTGTCAATGCTTTCCATTGAACATAGATAATTGTACCAATGTTGTTGGATATTTTAATCGGAAGTATTTTGAAAAAGTAGCAGTTTGTACCCCCCTTTTACACATTCTTTTATCGGCAGCCGATACAAGTCATCAGTTTTTTGCAAGGATCGCACAGTTCAACTTCTTTTTAATTCAATAAGCAACACACTTGTGTATTATCACTTTTGCAGGGCTAGACTGAAAAGAACCTTTTCAGAACTGGGTTCTGCTTGTGGTGCTTCCCATACCTAGTACTGGTAAAAGTTTGTGCTTTTTCAGTCTAGAGGTGTTGGTATTGCCTCAGCACTTGTGCTGTCTCTAAAGACTCACTTTGTTGACAAGGCAAATTGGGCTGAGCATTGGGAGCTACCTTGTTACTTTGCATTGTTGTGCTCCTTTAAAAATTTTCAAGCTGCCTCCTGGTTTTACCTTGGAAAGAGTTAAAGATGAGGGATCGATCGTTGACATCCGCCAGGTTGCACATGCCTTGCATACTCTGGCTATGCACAGTAGAGTAAGCATTGTCCTGCGGTTGCTTCTGCTTTGCAAAAGAGCCACATGGAATTCCTGAGTTTGGTCACTTCTAGCCTTCTGACCCACATAAGCCACCAGCTGCCTGGATTTGTGTGTGCCTGAGGCCTTGCCTCATACCTTGAGCCTAATTTTATTGATGCCACATGTGTACGGTATCTATACACAGAGGGGACATTACCTCTGCTAAGGGCATTTCTAGCTCACACTAACAGTTCTCGGGATGTTTACACTGTACCCTCCAAGGCCACTGATATCTGCAATCTGGAATCCAGTGAGCCCATTGTTTTCCTGTGAAAGTATTCAGTTCAGTGTCTTGTGAAAGCATTCACCCTCTTGGTGTTTTTCCTGTTTTCTTGCATTAGTCTGAATTGAAATAGATTTATGGGTGGTTGTACCATGTTGTGTACAAAATGCCTACCACGTTGTGAGTGCAAGACAAAAAAAATGAAATCTTGTGAACATAAGCATTCACCCCTTTGCTATAAAACCCCTAAATAAGATTTGGGCCAACCAATTAATTTCAAGTCCCATAATTCAATAAAGGTACACCTGTGTGCAATCGGTGTCGCATGATGTGTCACATGATCTCAGTATAAATACACGTTATGAAAGATCCCTGCATCTGCAACACCTCTAAGCAAGCAACATGAAGACTAAAAAGGTCAGAGACAAAGTTGTGAAGTATAGATCAGGGTTGGGTTATCAAAAAAATCCCAAACTTTGAACATCTCACCAAGCACCATTAAATTCATTATAACAAAATGGAAGGAATTTGGCACAACTAGAAACCTAACAAAAGAAGGCGATTAAGCTGTAATTGCAGCCATTAAGCTTTAATTGCACAAAGTATTTACTTTTTTTATGAATACTTATGCACACTCAAGATTTGTTTGTGTCAAAACCAAAATACATTTGCACCTACAAAGTGGTAGAAAGTAATCTCTCATAGGCCCCAGTCTCTTGATACCTCCCAGTTACAAGAGACTGTTTCAGTTCCTATTGATGCAGTGCACCTTTGGAGGATCCGCCTGCTGTCTCCATCCTTACGTCTTTCAGAGCCCCTACAGCTGCAAAGACCTTTCCACTGTGGCAAAATAAATTTAATCCCTCAAAAAGGATCTCTCTTCCTCTGGGGTCGACTTCTTCCTGATAAAGTGGGTGGAGCAGATATCTGGTGCCTTATGCTTCAGTTGTGATGGCTTGTTATCCAAAAAAAAAAAAAGGCATCCAAAATTGTGTCCAGTATGGG